ATTACTTTGGGCGGTCTGACCATTTTCATGATATTGATTCTTTCTCTCCATGAGCATGGAATGATTTTCCATTTATTTGTGTCCTCTCTTATTTCTTTGATCAGTGGTTTGCAGTTCTCCTTGAGGAGGTCCTTCACTTCCCTTGTTAGTTGTATTTCTAGGTATTTTATTTTCTTTATAGCAATTGTGAGTGACAGGTTCATTCACAATTTGCCTCTCTTGTTGTCTATTGTTGTTGTATAGGAATACTTGTGATTTTTGCACATTGATTTGTATCCTGAGACTTTGTTGACATTGCTTAAAGCTCAATAGGTTTTTGGACTGAGACAATGAGGTCTTCTTGACATAGGATCATGTCATCTGCAAACAGAGACAGTGTGACTTTCTCTCTTCCTATTTGAATATGTTTAATTTCTTTCACTTGGCCTGATTGTCCTGGCCAGAACTTCCAATACTATGTTGAATAGGAGTAGTGAGAGAGGGAATACTTGTCTTGTGCCAGTTTTCAAGGGGAATGCTTCCAGCTTTTGCCCATTCAATATGATATTGGCTGTGGGTTTGTCATAAATGGCTCTTATTATTTTGAGGTATGTTCCATCAGTACTTAGTTTATTGAGAGTTTTTAACATGAAGGGATGTTGAATTTTATCAAAGACATTTTCTGCATCTATTGAGATAATCATGAGGTTTTTGTCTTTAGTTCTGTTTATGTGATGAATTGCGTTTATTGATTTGCATATGCTGAACCAGCCTTACATCGTGGGGATGAAGTCAACTTGACTGTGGTGGATAAGCTTTTTGATGTCCTGCTGGATTTGGTTTGCCAGTATTTTATTGACAATTTTTGCATCAATGTTCATCGGGGATATTGGTCTGAAGTTTTCTTTTTTTGTTGTATCTCTGCCAGGTTTTGGTATCAGGATGATGCTGGTCTCATAATATGGATTAGGGAGGAGTCCTTCCTTTTCAATTGTTTGGAATAGTTTCAAAAAATAAGGTACCAGCTCCTCTTTGTACCTCAGGTAGAATTCAGTTGAAATCCTTCTGGTCCTGGGCTTTTTTTTTTCTGGTTGGTAGGCTATTTATTATTGCTTCAATTTCAGAACTTAATATTGGTCTATTCAGGGATTCAACTTCCTGGTTCAGTCTTGCAGGGGTGTACATATCCAGGTATTTATCCATTTCTTCTAGATTTTCTAGTTTATTTGCATAGAGGTATTTATAGTATTTTCTGGTGGTTGTCTGTATTTCTGTGGAGTCAGAAGTATATCCTCTTTATCATTTTTTATTATGCCTATTTGATTATTCTCTTTTCTTCTCTATTGGTCTAGCTAGTGGTCTATCTATTTTATTAAATTTTTCAAAAAAACACCACCTCGTGGATTCACTGATTTTTTGAAGAGTTTTTTTGTGTCTCTATATCCTTCGGTTCACTCTGATGTTGGTTAGTTCTTTTCTTCTGCTAGTTTTGGTGGTTGTTTTCTCTTGGTTCTCTAGTTCTTTTAGTTGTAATGTTAGGACATCAATTTGAGATCTTTCTAGCTTTTTGATGTGGGCATTTAGCGCTATAAATTTATCTCTTAACACTGCTTTAGCTGCATCTCAGAGATTCTGGTATGTTGTCTCTTTGTTCTCATTGGTTTCAAGGAACTTCTTGATCTCTGCCTTAATTTCACTTTTTTACCAAGGATTCATTCACGAGTAGGTTGTTCAATTTTCATGTAGTTGTGTGATTTTTAGTGAGTTTCTTAATCTTAAATTCTAATTTGATTGTGCTGTGGCCTTAGAGACTGTTCGTTATGATTTCAGTTCTTTTGCATTGGCTTAGGAGTGTTTTACTTCCAATTAGGACATTGATGTTTTTAAGAGTAATATTTACAATAGCATCAAGAGACACAAAATAAATAGAGATAAGTATAATAAAAGTTATGCAAGGTTTGTATGCTAAAATATGTAATGTATGAAATTTAAGAAGACCTAAGTGAAGATAGAGATAAACCATGTTTATTGAGGAGAAGACTAACATGGTTAAGGTGTTCATTCTTCCCAAATTGATGTAATAATTCAATGCAATTGAATCAAATTCCAACAAACTTTTTATAGGAATATAGACAAGCCAATTCTAAAATTTATATGGAAAAGCAAAAAACTCTAAATGGCCAGAACCTTTTTAACAAAGAAGAACAAAGTTGGAGGATTCACATTACTTAATTACACGACTTATTATAACATAGTAAGATAGTGTGGTATTGATTTAAGGGTAGACACATGATCAATGAAACAGAATAGAGTTGGAAATAAATGCATACATACATGGTCAACCGATTTTTGAAAAATGTATCAAAATAATTTAATAAGAAAGGATAATATTTTTGAAAAATTATGCCAAAAAATTGGACATCTATATTAAAAAAAACAAATGAACAAACCAAAGAATAACAAGTTCAACCCAAACTGGGTACTTTAAAAAAATAAGAACTCAAAATAGATCTTATAAATATAAAACCTAAACCTGCAACACTTCTATAAAAAAATAGGAGGAAGTTTTTATGGCTTTGAGTAAGGCAAAAATATTTTAGATAGGATACAAATTAATTTAAAATTTTGGTAAGATGGATTTCATTGACATTAAAATTTCATTTTGCTCTTTGAAAGACGTTGCTCAGAATACAAAAAGGCAAGCCACGTATTACAGGAAAATCCTTGCAAAACATGTAGCAGATAAAATCCTTTTCCCTATAATCCCTATAATCTAAGAAGTCTTACAACTAAATGATGAGACTTTTTAAGCAAACGTTTCACAGAAGAAATATGGATACCAAATAAGCACATAAAAATGTCAGTATTTCTAGTCATTGGAGAAATGTAAATATCACAATGATGTTCCCCACTCAAATGGCTAATATATACATATATATTTAAAAATAGACAATTCAAAGTGCTGGCAAGGATGTCAACTGAAATTCTCACCGACTACTGTTGGAAATTCATAACGGTACAGACACCTTGGAAAAACTCTTATTATAACATGTAGTAATCCATCTGTTACTCATTTATCCAATGGAAATGAAAACAACCACACAAAGGCCTCAATTATTTGAGCAGATTTATTCTTAATTTCTCTAAAATGAGAAGAACTCAAATGGTCATGAACTTCTGTATGCATAAACAAATCATGGCACATCTATAATATGAAATATTACACAGGAGTGAAAAAGAATAAATTACTGATAAATATGGCAACATGATTCTATTTATATGACATTGGTATATAGGCAAGCTTATCTGGACAGAAATGAGCTCATTGGTTGCCAAGGGCTGGAGGTGTGGGAAGTGGATTGATCCCAAACAGGCACTGGGAACTTTTTGGAGTGATAGAAATGTTCTACATCTTGATTGCAGTTGTGGTTATACAGCTGTATATATTTATTAAAACTCATTGAAATGTTAACCTAGCAAGGTAAATTTTACTGCATATATATTATACCTAAATAAACCCTATTTTTAAAAAGACTATTGCAATGGTTTAAATGATGGTGGTGGATGATGGTAAGTGGTAGAGAAACCCATGTATTAGAAGGTAAAATCAACAGGGCCAGGTTAATGGACTGACACAGGGGATGAGGCAAAAGGAGCTGTATTTCTTTCTTATGAAAAAACGCCACAGTACATTTAAAATTATAATCAGTTTTCTGTATATCCATCAATCTTATCAGGATGCACACTCTAAGAGGTAGAGAGAAGGAAGGACGTCAGAACAAGACCTTACAAATGGCAATGTTGTTTCAGCTCAAAACAGAGTCCACACATCCACACTGTAATAAGGGCTAAGTCTAATTTAAAACTATAGAAAATATGTAGAGAAAAATTAGGGCAATTACATCACCATTATGCTAAACAAACTATGCACAGAGCACATAACCTATGAAAAGCACTCTGCTATGCAGAGTGTAATTAAAAGACCATATGGTAGCTTTGGGGAAAAAACTCCAAAATAGAGTATGAGATGAGATGAGATGTGGCTTCCTCTCTGTACATGAGACTCATAAATATTTTGATCTTGGTCAAGACTTTTAACTTGTTAAAAGGGATGTTTAAGTAACATCTCTTTTGACTTTATCCTTCTTATATAATGTTATAGGGTGGCCATTAGGAGATTACAATATAATTATTTAAACATTACTTATGATTACATTTGACAACTACTTTACAAGTGTGCTAAGTTTTAGGGATGCAAAGTCCTTAAGGAGATTTGTCTAGTGTGACAAGATATGAAAGCAATCCAAATGCAATTGAGAGATAGATGCAAATGAAGTTTACTTTAAACCTAAAATATGCGTATATTCTACCTGTGATTAGATTCCTCACCTTCACTTTCTACATGTAAGCAAAGCATAATGTGTATCATCAATGAAAGCCAGACTCACTGCATGCTCCATTTTTAGAATGTATCTATATATAGAGAGAGATAGATACATATATATAGATAGATACATATATAGACACATACACACACACACACACACATATAATACAAAAATGTTAAGAAAACCAATCTTCTTTTTTATGATGTGAGGTAAGCAGAGAGCAGCCCTAATAGGTTATTTCTGTGTTACTACTTTCTTATCCCTATACACATGTTAAAAGGGCAATTCTAAAATCTAATCTCAAAAAATAAATATCACATTGTCCACCTTATTTGCCCTCACATTCCACATGATCGTAGTTATTTGCTTGTTTTATTAACAATCAATAAGTCAAGTCCTAAACCTTAATATATATTTATACCTGCATTTCTGTGTGTCTGGGTCTGAAATCACGGTTAAGTCATCAAATTTTCTGGGTTGGGCACACACCTTAAAACAATCTGAGATTGTTTGCTTACTTCCTCTTTTGCCATCTCACTGAGACTAATCATTTTGTGAAAAAAAATTTCTTGAAGTTATAAAAATCCAGTGAACTTTGTCAAACAGGAAAACTTCAATTGCAGCGTGTCTTACCTGGCTTGAGATGAGCGAATGGAATTTCGCCAGTGAGAATTTCCCACAGACACAGAGCGTAGCTGAAGACATCTGCTTTGATGGTGTACCGAGTGCACTGCGTGAACACCTCAGGAGCCATCCAACGGAGGTTCTGCACATCAAGAAACATCCACAAGCCATTTACCAAGTGTTTGGTTCCTCCGCTGCAGAGTAGCATTCTTCTCAGTGAGAATTTGCTGTGTTCTCCCGATGCTCTCAAAAGGCATAAATATAAATTAACATCCATACATATTGCCCTCAATGTGTATAATCAACACATTTATACATACACAGTGTGTTTACTGTGGCTGTTCAGTTCCTCAAAGGGCATTTTTTAATCATTGGAAGATCATAAAATTCATAATTCTTCCCAAAACATCACACCAGTAATTAATCATCAAGTAACTCTGCCTCTTATACAATGAGAGGCAGTATTATTTTTTAAAAATCTATAAACATCTTTCTCCCTTAGAAGCCTTCAAGGTTCAGAATAGCCAACCATGGATTCATCTAGGGACCCTATGTCTCCCTGGGAGTGAATCACACTCTGTGGGAGGCACCTCCTGCAAGTCTTCAGGTTGTAATTTAGGAAGTTACTAAATTAGGCCCATAAATAGTGCGCTCATGGCTGAGGAGAGAAATGGCTCCAGAGGAGTGCCCAGAATATTCCTAAGAAGTAGATTTATCACTGGCAGGAGCAGGTCTGTGTTATTTTCTCTGCCCAGATGTGCTATTTATGAATGCTGTTTGTGCAATATCCTGGAAAGGAAGCCCATAAAATATTACAAGTCCCTTCATGCAAAGTTCTAGCCTCTGTTTTGATGAAATTATGTACATTCTTTTCATTTGTGACTTCCCATTTTTCAGTTAAAAAAAATTAGTTTCCATTTTGGGATGCAAATGCATAAATTCAGTTGATTTCTAGTTTAGAGCACAGAACACTGGGTTTTGAGTTAGGAGATGAAAATTCTAGTTCTGGCTCTACCACTTACTGAACAGCTCTGGGCAAGTCTCATGTTTCCTGGACCTCAGATTCCTCAAGGACAAAGCAGAGGAGCCACACCCTCCCAGTTCTAAATCCCCATGGCACCTTATCTTACTAATAAACTTTGCTAAACACTTTTAAATATCCGTTGAAGGAAACCATTATTCTTTTATCACTGTTACCAAAATCTTGTGTGTAATGTTGGTCACTAATTCTTTTGAAATGTACACCTTATTTTGAAACCAAGCATAGTTACAGCTTTCCAATAATATCTTTATTCTTATTATGGTGCTCATATGCAATTTTTCTGCATAAGCTTCCACATTCCAGAGAGCCTCCATTTTTATAGCAAATTATGCATTGTGTCACAACATTGTATATGTGGGAGCAGGTACACAGTATGCCCGTTTTTGCACAGAGGGGTCATAGAGTGATTAGATAACATACATAAAGCCACAGAACTAATAAGAAACAAAACCGCTTTCAAAATAAATTTCAAATTAACTCTCTTATTCTCGCAGCATAGTCTTTAAGCACAGCACTAATTTATTTATTAGCACTAATTTATTTATTTATTAGTGCTGTGCTTAAAGACTATGCTGCTAGAATAAGAGAGTTAATATTACCTGCTGTTGGTTAAATTCAATTTAATTACATTCAACAAAAGTTTATTTAGTTGGAGAGTCTCAACTAACTGCTTTTTAGAATTATGTGGGGGAATTTTTAAAAGATGCAGTTACTCAAGATCAATCTTAGGCCAATAAAATCATAATTTCTAGGGATCAGATTCAGGTACTATGCTTAAAAAAGTTTCTAAACTTATTTTAATGTGCACCTAGGGTTGAGGACCACTAATTTAGCTGCCTCTATGTCCCATGTCTTGGATAAGCTTTGTGTTCTGCCAAAAGATCACTCATTGTTCCCACCTCCCTCACCTCATAAACTGCCACTTTCTTCCTTGATCACCTCACTCCGGCCACGCTGACTTTGAACACACCAAGAACTTTCCTGCCCCAGGACCTCTGCACTTACTATTGCCCCCACCTGCATAGCTCTCCCCCCATGTAGATTACTCCCATGTCAGGCCTCTTATTAAATGTTAACTTTTTCCTTCATCCTATCTAAATGGCATCCTCATCACTCTCCATTCATTTACTCTGCTTTCATTTTTCTTCATAACACTCATCACTGCCTGAGATACATTTTGTTAATTTGTCCAGTATTTATCCCCTTCCAGTAGAATATTAGCTCCATAGGAACGAGAACTTAGTTGATGTTGCAAAGAATGAATCAGAAGAGAGGACTGGAGTTACAAGCCTGTTGTGATACTAGTCCAGAAAAGAAATGATGAGAATCTGAACTGAAGCAGCAGGAAATGAGAGGTTTAAGAGGTTAAGATGAACTTAAAAAAGAAAAGAAAGAGACATCCAGAAAAGGTGACTGAGTGTAAGCAGAAGCAGGAAAGGGAAGGAATGAAAAATTACTCTAGGCTTAGGTAATTAGTTATCACAAGTAGTCCAGAAAGAGAAGTCTACTTTTTTTCAGGGGGAGGGATTGGGGAAAGTAAAGGAGAGGGCAGGTAATGAATTTAATTGCAGACATTTTGAGTACAATTATCCTTGCTTCAGATATTATAATTTATATTTTACTTAAACATTAATACTTGGATATACCACTTATTACCTTACAATGGTAAAGTGGAGAATGATGAATAGTTAATAGATGCTGATGAACTACTAATTTTATAGTGAGTTCCCTATTAAATGTTAACTCCACTATAAGTAGTTAGGTGATCTAAATATGAAATGATCCATGCCCACCACGTTCTTTTCAGTTACATTTGAAACATGTTCTATAGTATTTTATCCATAATGTTTTCCAAATATATATCTTATCTATTTCTCTAGTAGAACCTTGAGATAGTTATTTTGAAAGCTTACTAAAAATAAAAACATAAGCCATTATCCTGACACTGAGACAATGACATTTCTTCCAGTTAAAACTGTTCTCATCTTACGTCCTCTCAGGCTGAGTTTACACATTTTAATTGGTTTATAATTATAGGAAACACAAGCAGCAGCAAACCCCAGGTTGTTTTGTCATGTTGTCTTCGTCCAGAGACTGTAGAAATCTTGATTCTGAGGGAAAGAGAAAATAAACCACGTCAAAGGAAATATCTTAAAACCAAGGTCAACAATCACAGCTAAAATTTTGAAACCTCAAGAAACTTCTGTCTTTTTCAAATTCTCACTTCCCTTCTCTTGGCTGGAGATAACAAAGAAGAAAAACTAGAAATAAATGACAGAGTTTCAAAATGTAGGGTCACTGAAATTTGAATGATTTAGAGTAGGATAGCTGTCAATGTTCAGTGTTCAGTTTCACGGTAGAATATCAGGTGCCCAGTAGGAACAAAATAAAAAAGGATGCCATTTGGGGTATTACTCATGGAAATCTCACCTCCAAAATCTGCCACCACAGCATGCCCGTCCTCATAGAGAAGAATATTGTGACTGTAAAAAAAAAAAAAAAAAAAAAAAGTAGACATTGAGTAAGCTTTGCTATGTCCTAATCTAATTGGTCCCTCAAAGAAGAGGACCATAGACATCATTTGTTTGCCCTAGAGACTAAATTGGCCCCAAAGGGCTAAATCAAATTTTTTTAGTTTTGCTGATTCAAAATAGCTATTTATAAAATGTAATCATGTTTATACTTTCTCTAATGTTGAAGGTATAAAGAATTCCTACTTTAGACAAACCCTCTAAACTTGTCAAAAAGACCCATCAGCTGAAGATCAGTTTCTCAGCTCCTTGAGGCTCATTTGCTAACACAAGTGTGGTTACAAGGAAAGAGTGAAAAGCATCGTGGGCCTATTAGAGTCCGAGCAAGAGAAACAGCTTGCTGGAACCCTAGGCACAAGGACAGTTCAAGACAAGGCCTGAAATGAATGTAGCAAAAGGATTCTCTATGGAAAATGCCATGATCAATACATTCTAGATACAATCTCAGCACAAAGGAGTGTTTTGAGATCTGTGAAATGATGCCAACTAAACCACTTTTTAAGGTTTTGAGGAGAATAGCATAAAGGTCACCAAAGTCCCCCTTCAACCAAGAATTCAAGTTAGATTAAGAACAGTGTCAGAGTAGATCTTAAATGTTCTCACAACACACACAAAAAGGTAGCCATATGAGGTGGATAGATATGTTAATTAGCCTGATTATGGTAATCATTTCACAAGGTATACATAAGTCACATCACCTTGAACATCATATGTATAACTTTTGTTTGTTAATTACACCTCAATAAGGGCAGAAAAAAGGTGTCCTTTTTAAGAAGTAAATCAAACCTGAGATAGTCCAAGGAGAGGTTACTCTTCCCCAAAATTAGTAAATTTAGTTGTGGACTATCTTACAGACATGCATATGATAGTCCAAGATTGTCTTTGAATGCTTCTTACCATATGTCTTTGATGCTCATTTCACATTTGGCTTGTAAATGAGTCTTTTCAGTATTAGGAGATTGCCACTGGATTTTTTTAGTGCATATGGGCTATATTATATTTATTTTATAATAAATTACATAATGTTCCTTTATCCTTAATTATTTTGCTTCACGGTCAAAACATGAAAAACACCACTATTTCTTAATCTTGAGTGAGTCCAATATGATATTGAATCACTTTATATAATTGCTTTCCCACCTTGACTTGACCTTTACAAAAAAAGTTACTTTTGAACTTCTCTTGTAATTGCTACCGATTTTGTCTTTGGAGTATAGATAATCTTCTTTTAAATTACAGAAAATCTAAAATACGTTAAAATCATATTTCTTGTAGTAGCGCGGTGTAGAAGTATTCCAGGATGTCAAACAAAACAGAGACCTCCAACATGATGTCTTTAACAACAAATTACTAATGAATATACATGATGAGAACGAGACTGTCCTGTCAGAGAATGCTACAGCACCAGGAGCTCTCTGGAAGTTCAAATGCAACACAAAAAGTGCATCTACACGCTGTACTACTTGATAGAGTGGGTTAAGAAAGGGATTAGCTTTGAAGTGGGCTTTGAAGAACAGTCAGTTTGTAAGTGTATAAATGTGTGCTGAGACTTTATCATGTGCCAGGAAAATTTCTGTATACTGGAAAACAGTGGTGAACAAGACAGGCAAAGACTGAATTTATACGGTAGTGTAAAGGAGATGAGGCTGGAAGAGACAAAGGGGGAAATGAATTCTAGATTGGGGAAAGATCTTGGCAAAGGGCAAGAATTGGGAGTGTGTGTAGTATGCAATAGGAATTATACTAAAAATGTACTTATTAATCAGTGCATGCTAAAAAATAATGAGGGACTATTTGGGTGAAAGTGGTGCTGAACTGCTAGGGAATTTGAAATTAGAGAACAATTCTGGACTTGATGCAGGATGTCAGAAAGCACTAGTACAGGTTTTTGTGTATATATTTTAATACTCTGAAATCACAGACTGGTATTTCCGAATAACTTTAGAATGCAGTTACCAAATGACTAAAGTGTGAAGGTAGAGTAGAAAAAAGAAAGCAGTGGAGTGGATCCATCAAAACATCTGAGAGAAGTGTCTATATCTGGGAGCAGTTTAAATATTAGAGGCTAAAAGACAATGACAACAATAACAACAGCAACAAAAACAAAGATAACCTCCAAAATTCTAGCTTGGCCTTCTGACTACAAAGCAATAATATACACAGTGAGAAAGAGCCAGAAAACCTGGCAACTTTTATGAATAGGATAGTGGCTTACTTGGGAGTTTGTGGAACTTGAGTCAGAGTTATGCTTGGGAAGATTAGACGCACCTGATAAACAACTATAACATTTATCATATTGAAGTCACATTCAAAGTGAACTCTTACGTTTAAAAAACAGTAACAAGTCAAACAAAACACAGGATGCAGTGACAGTTTAGGAACACAGGACAATGCGAGTTCATAGCAATAAATGGGTCTAAATGTCAAAAAGGATGCCATGAAAGTGACTTTGCAGAATGAGACTTAGCAAGTGCTAGAATAAAGCGAAAGTTTCTCTTCACTTCAAGATAGTCTTGGATTTGTCCACTCCTTCTCTAACCACTCAGTAATAATGAAAACTAAATTGTAATACCATCTCTAAGATTCTTTCACTCATTTTTTCCCACTTTGAAGTAAGCTGTGCTTCCTATATGGAGTGAAATTCATGAAGGGGAGCAGGCAGGGTTGAAGCTGAGAGAACCTGTGCCAATCAGTCACAGTGACCTAGCTTCAGTGGGCATCACACCCAGAGTCAAAGCCTCTAGAGTCAGGGAGGTTGAGTGAAGGGTCAGCAATGTCAGGTTTGAGGATACCAGGGAAGGAGAAGAGCTTGGAGCTGAAGCCAGCTAGGACAACAGAGCTGGTGCAATTATTATTAAAGATGAGTTCAAGAGTTTATTACTGAGAGATGTCATGAGCTACAAGTTTGGAGCAGTGTAAAGATTGTGGGAATGTAGAAGCAGTGGCACAGAGGGTGGCAGTGCAGAGAGAAGGGAGTAAATATTGAGTGAGGGTCTCCTGTGAGCAGGCACTGGTGTTTTCAACGTTTTTCCATTCCTCATGGAGCCACTATGGAGATGGTATTAGCATACATATTTTACAGATGGATAACTGAGGCTAGAGAGGTGAAATCAGTGTCCCTTACCATAGCTGGAAAGAGGTGGAGCCAGGATTCAGTCTCCAAAACTTTCTTGTTTTAGGAGAAGCTGATTCTCATACCAACCATATCCAAAGGAGGAGTCAGGACTGCTATAATTAGATGTCTGGAAATAAATTCCAGAAATCTTGTTTGAGTGAAGTCAGGCCTACCAGCTAGTGCCCAAAATACCTGTTTTCAATATGTTACTGTAAGGTGATGAGACTGAAATCAATAAGCTAATTAGAAATAAATCTAAGGCAAAGCAGGCAAAGACTAACTTTCCTCCCTTCAAGAGATTGGATACTATGTCATAGGCTCTTTAAAGAAATGTAGGCAAAGGAAGCATAATCATTGCAAACATGGAAAGTGCAATTTGACCTGGGAAGTAAGCCAGGCACATGAAGAGGGTCAACACCAGGGAGACAATCATCAGGATCAGGAGAGAGAAATAGAAGGGTGATGGGAATTCTCAGACTTCTTTTCCTTCAAAAGATCACCCAAGAGGTTTATTTACAGTCATTTGCTCTTCTATAAAATCTTGAGAGAGAAAGACAGTCCTCTGTTATACATGATGCTGCAGAGTATATTCATGAGCATTGTAACATTCGTGGAAACAGCCCCGTGAGTCAGATCCTTCTAATTTGAATCTGACAAATCAGAAAATTTTGATTTGATTTGACAGATGAGCAAACCTGTCAGTAGTTAGTTGAGCTAGCGTCTCAGCCCTTACCTTTGAGGTCAAGGAAAATAGTTAACTTATACTATAATATACAAACATGTACACATAAGGTGTGCACATGCATGTGTGCACACACACACACATACATACACTTGCATCTTAAACTCTCCAGAAGCATCTTTTAGGGTGAAGAGTCACTGAGGAATGCTTTTTAGATAACAGAGAGTTTGGTAAAGACAATTAAAGGAATTTAAGTAGATAAAAGTCAACAAGTCCTTTATGCTTAAGGTAATTTTTAGCATTTCTGCATTTACCATTTTGATTTCATCTAAATAAATGTGATTTCTATACTCCACGCTGTTTGCTCACTTGCAATTTTGTTGTGTCAAGTGAGGCTTAAGCTCAGAAGCAAGTTGTTTAGTTCATGAGCATGCCCAGCTAACCTTGCAGTGTCAGCAGCTCAGAAGGCTTTATTGCTCCTTTTGATCACCCTGCTTTATAGGAGATATGATATGCTAGAAGTGCATTTACTAATCTGGAGATCTGAACAAATCTCTACATTTTACTGTAACTTATCTCCTTTCATCTCTTGCCCCTCAGTCTCCTTGGCTTCTTGCCCCAGATGGTAGGACTTGGGTTGAAGTTCTAGCTCAACCAATTTCTGACTCAGTTTACTGCCTCTGCTGTGAAGGCTAAGTTCTGTGCTGGAAATTGCAGTGCATGCCTTCAGAAAGACAGTGTGGTCTGATTGGGAATGAAATACAAACTGAAAGAATGATTAAGTTACATAATCTACAATTTAAAGTGGTTTGCATTCTGAGATACCTAGAAAATAATATAGTGAATGTAAGAATTTATTATAAAATGGATCATTAACCAAGTAGAAAAAAATAGTCTTAAGAAATACGAGGAACAGGAGGTACTACATAGAAAGAGGACCTAGAGTCAGAAGACAAATCAATACCTAGTTTTTGCTATTACCAGTACTGTGATTTTGGCCAAATTATAACACTTTAACTTTTTGAGACTCCTTTTCTCATCTTCAAAAATTGTAAGAGGAATGAAGAAAATGAAAAAGAGATAGATGGAATTTGGTAAATTCTGAACTGCTAAATAAGTATTAGCTATTATTAATATACATAATACCTAGCTTAC